GAGGACCTAGAGGTAGGATGGAATACAGAATCGGCAGAGAGGGTCAGAATGAGGAAGGTTGTGATTCCTTCTGGACGCAGGTCTGGAAAAAACTAATGTCTGTGAGGGAAGGCAGAAACAAGTGGAATGGGGCTCCCACTAATGCACTGAAGAAGAGATTGGTAGAGCTCATTCAAACAGAAGACCTAGTGGAAGGAGCAGAGCCAGACCCACATTGGTCGGTTCAGCCTTCAGCGCCTCCTAACCCACAACAGAGATGTCCCACTCCCAAGGCACCCAGGGGGCTGGTAGGATGAGTCTGCTTTGACTACTGGGGCTGCCCAACCATTCAAGTTTTAGTGGGAGACAAGGGGAATGTGAAAACCCCCAAATGCTGATTGATACTGGAGCCTTGATCAGTGTTTTGCAACAGAGATGGGTTCCAGATGGGGTTTTAATGTACCCCAATCATTTGCAACTAGAGTCCTATACTGGAGAGTTGGAGAACTCACCCGTAACCCAACCTATTGTGACTCAAATAGGAGAATGGAAGTTTTGGGGAAAATATGGAATACAAAAGGATAAGCCAAGAGGAGACAGTGAGAATGGAATTTGAGGAATGACTGCTTTGCAGCAGGGAGGAATACTGCTGGATTTAGCTAATGGGTGTCTGTGGAAATGGCCAGTAGAGGAAAAGAGTGTGTTGATTTCTGCAGTGCATCAGTGTGCAGCTATCAAGGCTCCTGCTGTAATTGATTAAGTTAATCAGGATGAGTGGATGCAGGCATTTCCTAAGGCTTGGGCAAAGGCTAAGTTAGAATGTGGCATGATACAGGCTTGTGTCTTGATTAAGAGATCAGACCCTCCACCACAGAGCCAATATAAATATACATCAGAGGCTCAAATGGGATTACAACCCACAATAAATAGTTTAAATCAGGAAGTAATAGTACAGATGCCTAGTGTTCGCAATTTCCCGATTTGGCCTGTTCTGAAAGCAGATGTGACAACCAGGAGACTAACAATAGACTTCAGAGCTTTGAATGCAGTGACTCCTGTCACCGCTCCTGTCGTGGTGAAATACCCTGAAATTCTAGCAGCCACAGCAGGAAGGGCGAAATGGTTTTCATTTGGCTAATGCATTTTTTTGCCATTCCCTTGGCACAGGAATGCTATTACAAATTTGGATTCACATTCAGGGAACAACAGTATTGTTTTACTTGAGTACCCTAAGGATTTCACAATGCTCCAGCAATATGCCATGTACATGTGGTAAGGTTATGGGACAAGCTTTCTCCAGATAGTCAAAGTTGTATGTTGTCGTATGTAGATGACATACTGATACATGGAGGCAATAAAGAGCAAGTAGTGAAAGTATACGCTGCTGCAGTATGCACAACACCAAAGACAGTACTGCTGTGATGGGAAGATTGAGGCTTTACTCTATAGCATGTCATTGAAATGCAAACATTCCAAATCTACTTTATTGCAATGCCACCCTGCTATTAGGAAACCATAAAATCCCTGTTTTCTCCTTCCTCTTCCACTACTATTAAAACTATGTACAGTAAAAGCTTTGTTATCCAGCACCCAGAGGGAATGGAGGGTGCCGGATAACAAAATATGCCGGATAACTGAGCGGCCCGAACAGGCATCTTTGCCTATTTGGGCCGCCACCTGTCCTGCCGTGTCTGGGGTGTTGTCGCCCCTCCCACTGCATTGCTGCCCCTCCTGCCGCATCGTCACCCCTCCCATGGGCCCCGAGGGACAAGGAGGGGGGACCCGCGTAGCCTGCTATGTCCCTGGGCCATGGGGGCTTGGCAGCGCAGGCTGCTTTCCCCCGGGTCGTGGGAGCTCCACGAAACCGGAAGTGCCACAGTGGGCCCTTCCAGTTTTCCCTTACAAGCCGGCATGCCGGTTAACAGAGTATGCTGGCTTGTAAGGTGCTGGTTAACACAGCTTTTGCTGTACCTAATTCACAGGAATTTGATTTACAAGTGGTGCTGGGAGTTCCAGACGGGGCGCTCTTCTCTGCTTCCATACTGAACCAAGAGCCCAGCTTGATATTCAGGAGTTGCTTCCTTACTGGAAAATGTTGCCTTCCTATGTTAATGAGAAAAGACTGCTACCATTGGTAAAAGGTCTGGGCCTGAATATCCTGATTAAATTCTATTACAAATAATTGCATTCATCTATCAATCTCTACTACTACTAATCTTATCTACTATCCCATCTCTGCTTTGAAATCTTTTTAAGGGTGCCATGGTGCTGTGAATGTTAGCACTGTTAGGTATGCAAATATCTACACACAATTCACCAGATAAACCCAGAGATTTCTAAAAGGACTCCATAGCATCAAATATATTCTAACCTGTTGTGGCTGGAGTTCTGTGCAACAGAGGAGTTGCTCTGTTATTTTTCTGTAGTCAAGAAACAAGTGAAAGCTAAGAGCTGCCATTTTCAGAGGGGCACTTTGAGTCTGAAATGGTTGAGAACCACTGGCTTAAACCCCTTCAGTCCTCTCCTCAGTGCTCACACATCTGAGCTTCACCCACTCCCTGATCCTTTTACTAATGTTTTTGTCTTTTGTTTAAGAGCTTCACAAACACACCCTACACTGAACTCATGTTCTTTGTACAGATTAACTACCAAATAAATCACACACAGAGCACTAAAGCCCTATCCAAGCCATATATAGACTTTAGTGGTACCTTAAATCCACAGAATCTGACAAGCCTCTCTCGCCACTCTAAAAATATACGTACTATATTTCTTTTCAAAGCACATACCTTTCCCCCCAATATTAGGCTTCCAAAATGGGCAGGGAGTGTCTTGAGCAGGGACATTGATGTACTCCCCAGAATAAACACCCTACTTTGATTCCTTCTCCACCCAAAGTTTAAAACCAACTGCCTAGCAGCAGCAGCAGCATTTCTATTTTGGTAGCTGAGAGAGTCAATCAACTTAATGGCTCATTGCTCTTCATTCCACAGGTATTAACAACCGTGTCTCCATTTTAAGGGTCTTGATGTTTTGCTAATCAAGCTAACCTTTCCTCTGGAAATTTCGCTGTCTGTTAGCTATTCCTGTGGGTTTTTTTCTTTCTTTTTGCAGCCCAACAGACTGTTTTTAGCTCTTTTCAAACTTATAGATCCACCCATATGTGCATCCATACATGCAGGCACGTGCACTTGGAGCAGCTCAAATGGAAACGGTGCAAAGCTGAGCCAGGGCTTTTTGCCCCAGCACATGAGCTTGGACATGCACTTTGTTGTGGAGCAAACTGTGCCACTTAGAGCAAAATAAGCCTGCTTGGCTCCTCCCAGATCTGCCGCTAGGGGGAGCTAGAGCCCAGGGCCAGCACCTGTGCTGTCCCCAGCAGTATAAAGAGCTGCCCTGTCCTGGCCCCAGCAGTACAAAAAGCTGCCCTGGCAAGTAGCTCAGGGTTACTAGCTCTCAGGAGCTTCTGGGGCCCAGCCAATTGGTACCTGGGGACACTACCCCTTGTGCCAGCTGGACTGCTGAAGAAGCCCTGAGAGTTTCCTGCAACCTC